GGCACAGGAGCGGGGCAAGTAGCACGGGCTATGGAGAGCCGGTAGTAGACTTACCTGGCACAGGAGCGGGGCAAGTAGCACGGGCTATGGTGAGCCCGTAGAGGACTTATCTGGCACAGGAGCGGGGCAAGTAGCACGGGCTATGGAGAGCCGGTAGTAGACTTACCTGGCACAGGAGCGGGGCAAGTAGCACGGGCTATGGTGAGCCCGTAACTTACCTGGCACAGGAGCGGGGCAAGTAGCACAGGCTATGGAGAGCCCGTAGTAGACTTACCTGGCACAGGAGCGGGGCAAGTAGCACGGGCTATGGAGAGCCGGTAGTAGACTTACCTGGCACAGGAGCGGGGCAAGTAGCACGGGCTATGGTGAGCCCGTAACTTACCTGGCACAGGAGCGGGGCAAGTAGCACGGGCTATGGAGAGCCCGTAGTAGACTTACCTGGCACAGGAGCGGGGCAAGTAGCACGGGCTATGGTGAGCCCGTAACTTACCTGGCACAGGAGCGGGGCAAGTAGCACGGGCTATGGAGAGCCGGTAGTAGACTTACCTGACACAGGAGCGGGGCAAGTAGCACGGGCTATGGTGAGCCCGTAACTTACCTGGCACAGGAGCGGGGCAAGTAGCACGGGCTATGGAGAGCCCGTAGTAGACTTACCTGGCACAGGAGCGGGGCAAGTAGCACGGGCTATGGTGAGCCCGTAGTAGACTTACCTGGCACAGGAGCGGGGCAAGTAGCACGGGCTATGGTGAGCCCGTAACTTACCTGGCACAGGAGCGGGGCAAGTAGCACAGGCTATGGAGAGCCCGTAGTAGACTTACCTGGCACAGGAGCGGGGCAAGTAGCACGGGCTATGGAGAGCCGGTAGTAGACTTACCTGGCACAGGAGCGGGGCAAGTAGCACGGGCTATGGTGAGCCCGTAACTTACCTGGCACAGGAGCGGGGCAAGTAGCACGGGCTATGGAGAGCCCGTAGTAGACTTACCTGGCACAGGAGCGGGGCAAGTAGCACGGGCTATGGTGAGCCCGTAGTAGACTTACCTGGCACAGGAGCGGGGCAAGTAGCACGGGCTATGGAGAGCCCGTAGTAGACTTACCTGGCACAGGAGCTGTGGTCCTCGAGTGATCAACATTCCTCCCAACTGGTATGAAAGTTAGTTCAGGTGTTGGAGGCCATTTCTTGTGGCCGTTTTTGTACAGGTAAGAGGCCTGTTGAGCCGCCGTTAGTGTGTCGGTACATAAATTATATGTAATCATATTTGAGGCCATTGTTTTCATGTTAGGATAAACAGACCTGGAGTGTGGTTCGTTGAAGGCTCCGATGGTGGCTGGGGATGCTAGTCAGCTTCGCAACCTCGTACTAACACAAGAGCTGCCAAAGAATACGTCCAGTAAGGTGTCGGTCGTTAGCGTCCGTCCAGTAAGGTGTCGGTCGTTGGCGTCCGTCCAGGAAGGTGTCGGTCGTTGGCGTCCGTCCAGGAAGGTGTCGGTCGTTGGCGTCCGTCCAGGAAGGTGTCGGTCGTTGGCGTCCGTCCAGGAAGGTGTCGGTCGTTCCAGGAAGGTGTCGGTCGTTAGCGTCCGTCCAGGAAGGTGTCGGTCGTTGGCGTCCGTCCAGGAAGGTGTCGGTCGTTAGCGTCCACTTACGACTAGCCAGACGGTAGACGCTACTCTGACGTGTGCGCGCAAGACCTCACATATCTGTATGATAAAACCTGCTGTAAGGTAATAGCCGCAAAAAGTTGTAACTACCCAGGTGTAGCAGGCTTGTGTACCTCTAGGCTTAGTTGTGGCGGTGATGCGTGTGGTGAGTGGTGGTTGTGGTGACCGCGGTGCTACCCGCCTCCCGCCGCGGCTCTACCCGCACACGTCATTTGGAAATGCTGTTGCAAATCACCACACTCCAGTCGCCTTAGACCTCCATCTTTTGTTTTTACTTTAGTCCGAAGGGATATTTGTATTGGTTTCATAGGCCGTTTTTGTCCATCTTGTCGGTTATTTCGTTTCTTTCCCTCCCCCGGGAGCCGGTGGTTAAGCGGACAGAACATTGGACGCGTGATTCTGTGGTCTCGGGTTCGATCCCGGGCGCCGGCGGGAAACAATGAGCAGAGTTTCTTTCACCCTGATGCCCCTGTTACATAGCAGTAAATAGGTGCTGTTACGGGCTGCTTCCTGGGGGTGGAGGCCTTGTCGAGGACTGGGCCGCGGGGACACTAAAGCCCCGAAATCATCTCAAGATAACCTCAAGATATCCTCACTTTAATAAAACTTAATTGAAATCCTCAGATTAGGCTAAATTGTAATTGTCAATAAAGATGTTAATAATAATAAACTGCTTGAAACTATAGCAGTTGGAGTAGACAACATATCATCGTGGATGTGAAGAGGCGGTACAGGCCCTCGGTGTACCTCTAGCAAAGATCTGTAATGTGTCAATTACAGAGAGAGTTGGCCAGCTGTCGGAAGAAGACAAATGTGGTATCAATTTTCGAGAAAGGAGATAGAGATGAAGCACTGGATTACAGACCAACATTCCCTGGAGTGTACTCGGAAGAATAATCAGGATAAGACTAGTTACCTGGAGAAAATTAGGCATGTCAACACGAACATGGCTTGGGTGAAGATAAATCATGCCTAAGGAACCTACTAGAGTTCTATGATAAATTAAAAATAATGCAGGACAGAGAAGGGTGGGCAGATTGCTTATTTCTGGACTGCCAAAAAGCCTCTTAATACAATACCTCACAAGATATTACTATACCGACTTGAGAGGCAGGCGGAAAGTCCTAACATGGTTGATAATTACCATGATAATTAATTAATGGTTAATTAGGCGGGTGCCAGAGAATAAGAGTGAGGGGCAAAAGTCGGCGTACAATGCTAGCGTATAATAACAAGTGGAGTACCTCAGTGGCAACACAGGTAAAAGGTTATCATGTATAACCAAACTCAATTACGGGTTCACCATAGCCCGTGCTACATGGACACTTCGTCCTGAGTAGCTAAATCTTTAACAACAACAACAGTGGCAACAATTGAATCATCATCCAGGCACTTAAATAAGGAGGCATTTAGATCGCTTCTCACAGCCTACGTGAGACCAGTCGTGGAGTACGGCCCATCTCATCCCCCTCTCCAATCCTGGAGATCTCACCCCAAAAAAATACACACAAGAAACTCGAAAAGGTTCAGAAGTTTGCGAGGATGTGGGCCTATATCAGTGGCGCTGTGTGTTAGTGGTTGTAATGCTCAAACACCAATATTGTGGACTCTTGGTCGAACACGGAGAACACCTGATATTCATGCAGTAGTCTGCCTGTGGCGCAGAAACTACTGCATGAATATCAGAGGTACACGGCACTTCACCGTCTCCCACCAAATATAAGAAATATTGCTGGAACACAAATGGGACGGGAGACATCTCCCGTCACGCAGGGTGCAGTCGCACCTCCACAGATCTCCAGTATCAGCTCTTGATACTGGTAGTGGCTCAAAAGGGCCACCACTTACGGGCTATTCATCCCCATGCCACCTTTTGGGTGGTTTAATCTTCATCATCATCAACACAAATGGTGTTGGACAATTCGGACAAGTTACTGCAGGATGTGTCAGACCAACTGGATTTGTACTGGTATGTGCGCCTGCGGGCTGCTTTAAGTTATAGTTAATTATGCAGACTATACCCATGCAGTGAGTGGTAGGGGAGTAGGGACCGGTCCAAGCGGTCCCTATTTGAGAGAGAACCTTTTGGACAAAAGTTGTCAAGTCTGCCTCCAGAGATACAATTGCTCCATATATGGTCTGGACGAGGTGTATGACGTCACTATGATGTCATAATGTTAATACTGACACAGGTTTTAGACCCTACTGGACTTGGAGTACAACTATGCAGGCGATGAGTCACAATAACGTGGCTGAAGTAAGTTGACCAGACCACACACTAGAAGGTGAAGGGACGACGACGTTTCGGTTGGTGTTACCGAAACAACGACAGGAACGGTTGAGGCCTTGAAATAAGGAGGAGGGAGTGGGGGGTGGGGGGTAGGGGGGGTCGGGTAGCTGTAGAGGGGGTGTTTGGGGGAAGGAAGGAAGGCCGCGTTAACGGTACCGACGCTAACTTTGGCTGCCCTAATGGTGGCTGCTGGCCTGGAATGTTGCCGTGGTGGGCAGGGGGTGGGGGGGCGTGTTTGAATACCCCACGACGTGTCGGGGTGGGGCCCTACCTTGAGGTGCTTCCGGGGCTTAGCGTCCCAGCGGCCCAGTCGTCCACCAGGCCTCCTGGTTGCTGGACTGATCAACCAGGCTGTTGGACGCGGCTGCTCGCAGCCTGACGTATGAGTCACAGCCTGGTTGATCAGGTATCCTTTGGAGGATACCTTGCTTGCAATTGCTGTAAGGGGAAAAAGCTATATCCCACATTATAACTTTACCTGGAAGTTGAAACTGTCTGCGAATCGTGAGTTTGAAAAAAAGAAAGGTACCACACCTGGTACTTGAATTCCTTCTCCCCCCTACCAAAAATTTACCCCAGCTTACACGCCCTGCAACGCAGCTTGCACGCCCTGCAACGCAGCTTGCACGCCCTGCAACGCAGCTTGCACGCCCTGCAACGCAGCTTGCACGCCTTGCAACGCAGCTTGCACGCCCTGCAACGCAGCTTGCACGCCCTGCAACGCAGCTTGCACGCCCTGCAGCGCAGCTTGCACGCCCTGCAACGCAGCTTGCACGCCCTGCAACGCAGCTTGCACGCCCTGCAACGCAGCTTGCACGCCCTGCAACGCAGCTTGCACGCCCTGCAACGCAGCTTGCACGCCCTGCAACGCAGCTTGCACGCCCTGCAACGCAGCTTGCACGCCTTGCAACGCAGCTTGCACTCCCTGCAACGCAGCTTGCACGCCTTGCAACAGTCCTCTCTCCCTCTTCTCTCCCCCATACATCACCATGACCCCCGTGTACCTGTGGTGTGCTCGAGTGTATACCGTGAGGTCACAGGTCAACTGGCCAGAATGTTGACGACCTACATGGGCAAAAGAGCAAGAAGTCATTCTTGTGGTTGTGAGGTAATTCGTCAGCGAGGAGAGGAAGTGTTGAGAAAGTGTTGCTGGAATGTTGAACACTTTGTTGAGCGTATAGTTTGAACATGTTCACCCACACCCGTGTATTGTGGCGTGTTCACCCACACCTGTGTATTGTGGCGTGTTCACCCACACCCGTGTATTGTGGCGTGTTCACCCACACCCGTGTATTGTGGCGTGTTCACCCACACCTGTGTATTGTGGCGTGTTCACCCACACCTGTGTATTGTGGCGTGTTCACCCACACCTGTGTATTGTGGCGTGTTCACCCACACCCGTGTACTGTGGCGTGTTCACCCACACCCGTGTACTGTGGCGTGTTCACCCACACCCGTGTATTGTGGCGTGTTCACCCACACCCGTGTATTGTGGCGTGTTCACCCACACCCGTGTATTGTGGCGTGTTCACCCACACCTGTGTACTGTGGCGTGTTCACCCACACCCGTGTATTGTGGCGTGTTCACCCACACCTGTGTATTGTGGCGTGTTCACCCACACCCGTGTATTGTGGCGTGTTCACCCACACCCGTGTATTGTGGCGTGTTCACCCACACCTGTGTATTGTGGCGTGTTCACCCACACATGTGTATTGTGGCGTGTTCACCCACACCCGTGTATTGTGGCGTGTTCACCCACACCCGTGTATTGTGGCGTGTTCACCCACACCCGTGTATTGTGGCGTGTTCACCCACACCCGTGTATTGTGGCGTGTTCACCCACACCCGTGTATTGTGGCGTGTTCACCCACACCCGTGTATTGTGGCGTGTTCACCCACACCCGTGTATTGTGGCGTGTTCACCCACACCTGTGTATTGTGGCGTGACACTAATGGCCGGCTTCTTATTTCAGGTACGGCTGCTGATGTTTAGAAAGTGTTTCCTTCCAAGGAGCTGTGACAGGCGCCTTCTTCAGGTGTTGCAGGTGTTGAGGTAACTCCTCCGGCGGGTATTGTTTGTCTCCGTTGTTGAGTCTGGCTTTGTCTTGTTGTCCTGCTGACTTGGACGGCTCTGTTTCCCCTGTTTCCCCCAAGCATTTCTAGCGCTCATTTCCTAGTTTTCTTGAGCGTTTATAATGCGTTCATTTCCTTGTTTTCCCAACGTGTTTGTGTTGGGTGCATTTCGTGGTTTTCCCAAGTTTTTGTAATAAGCTTATTTCCACGTTTCCTAAACGAGAAAATAAGTCTGATTGGTGTGACTGTAACAGTCACAAGAGTGACTGGTGACAGTGGTGACTATAGAGCTCCGATGAAGCACTATAGAGCCCTGATGAAGCATTATAGAGCTGGGCAGCCACACGGAGACAAGAGTAATTATGAATGAATGACATCTTAACCCTGACTTAACGCTTAAGTCCTCACGCCCGGATAATACCCCCCCCTCCCCCCGATAATACTAACCCCCCCTTCCCAAGCTGATCATAGTTATGAAAACAGTTGTTGAGTTACCACTGTACCGTTATGATCACTGTCCCGTTATGAACAGTGTAGTGAACACTGTTGATAACGGAACAGTGTTCGGTACAGCGTTATGAAGACATTGGTTCACCCTTGTCATTTTGTAGCCCATCCTAATAACAATGGCAAAATCGCTAATTTAACGAGCGTACGAGTCGGTTTGAGTGAGACATAGACGCGCTACAGCTGTGCTCATGACGTAAGCGTTTCTTGGGCGAGTTTCTTGGGCGAGTTTCTTGGGCGAGTTTCTTGGACGAGTTTCTTGGACAAGTTTCTTGAAGATACCTGGTTGATGGGGTTCTGGGAGTTCTTCTACTCCCCAAGCCCGGCCCCGGACCCTTGAAGAGTTTCTTGAAGAGTTGATAAGTCAGTGGGTGTGGTGGAGGCGCTCCAGCCTTCTGGAGCACTTCCTCCAAGTGCTGTCAGTACCACACAACACAGACGTGTACTCTATCCCTTTCAGATGTATTTCTTTCTTGTCTCAGTAAACGTGAACTTGAGGCGTGTAACTCGCCTTACGTCTCAACACTCGACTGGAATATATCGTTTTGTTCGAGAATATTAGATTTATGCCTCGTGGTAGTGGGCGCCTGCACGGAAATGTAACGGACGGAACTAAAAGAAAGAAAAAAAATTATCAACAAACAGTACAACAAAGTTGACAAAAGCTTCTTTGATCCCGGCGACAGCTTGGACGAGCACTGCCTCAAGATGGGTTGATTCATTGATTGATGAAGATTAAGCCACCCAAAAGGTGGCACGGGCATGAATAGCCCGTAAGTAGTGGTGGCTCTTTGGAGCCATTACCAGTATCATTAGCTGATACTGGATGTGTGTGGAGGTGCGGCTGCACCCTACGGAGAGGTCGTGACCTCTGATGGGTTGCGTCACTGGCTCGTTGATATATGTCCGCGAGGCCCGCCGCCAGGGGCCCTCCGCCGCCAGGGGCCCTCCGCCGCCAGGGGCCCTCCACCGTGTAAACAGCCGGGCGGAAGCTGCCAACATGTTTCATACATTCTGATGACATTGTAAGCAAGGTGTTAAATATTGGATAGTTCGTTACCACTAATAACGGTTTTTAACAATGGTTCTTGATCTCCGTTGATAACCACTGATAAGTTGTTTCTATGACATCCCGTTCTCTTAGAATGTCGCTCCGTGTAGCAAACATGTCTACCTACATGTTACCTGTCTGAGGTCGGTTCCGGAAATCAATGTCCCCGCGGCCCAGTCTCTTAATAGGCCTCCTGGTTGGTGGACTGGACAACCAGGCTGTTTGACGCAGCTACTCACAGCCTGGTTGATCCAAGAGTACTTTGATGTTTATCAAGTATTCTTGAACACCGTGGGAGGTCGGCCAGTTATGCCCCTAATGTGTAGCGGGTGTGTGTTGGGTTCTTAATGGTTCTCTCTCAGCGTACTTATTGTACCTCTGCTCTTCAGCGGGGCTATTCTGCACATCCTGCCATGCCTCCTGGGGCCAGATTCACGAAGGCACTTACGCAAGCACTTACGAACGTGTACATCTTTCCTCAATCTTTGACGGCTTTGGTTATATTTATTAAACAGCTTACAAGTATGAAAACTTCCCATTCAACTGTTGTTATTGTTATAAATATCCTCCTGGTGCTTCGGAGCTCATTAACTGTTTAATAATTGAAAACAAAGCCGCCAAAGATTGAAAAAAGATGTACAGGTTGGTAAGTGCTTGCGTAATTACTTTCGTGAATCTGGCCCCTGGTCTCGTATTATGGTATTCCTGTGTGCAGGTTTGGGACCAGTCCTAGTATTTTCCAAGTGTAAATTGTTAAGCATCTCATCAGCCTGCGCTCTACGGAGTACAGATATAGACAACTGGTTTTATAATATACGTAAATTTTAATGGATTAGTCGATTCTGTTAAAAATGCGACGTAATAGTTGTTGCTAACGGGTCAGTTCTCTCGAGTCCTCAAGAGGATTTTGTCGATTGTCGGTAAATGTGTTAAACAGTTTGGCGCCTCAACATTGTGTGTGGGTGGGTGTATGCGCGCGGGCGTGCGTGCAGAAAAAATGTGGTTTTATTCATGTGTTTTTCAGAGGTATTGTAAACTGCCATCAGCGGTTGACCTAATACACAGGGCCCACTCAGAACAAATATAAATTATAGTGTTTGTAACTAGTTAATCACGTGTAAACAGCTCTAGCTCTCTGCCAATTACCCACAGCATGAATATGATTGGTCCTTAATAAACTAGTTAGTTAAATATGTAGTTAAGCTATATATTTGTGGTAGGTAGCACTCGTACACCTCACTGGCACTTCAGGTGTCTTGAGTAATAGCTCAGTGGACACCTCCGTTCCGGGGCTAGGGACACCACCTGCAGGTTGGGGGTAATGAGGTGGAGTTACTGGCACTTCAGGTGTCTTGAGTAATAGCTCAGTGGACACCTCCGTTCGGGGCTAGGGACACCACCTGCAGGTTGGGGGTAATGAGGTGGAGTTACTGGCACTTCAGGTGTCTTGAGTAATAGCTCAGTGGACACCTCCGTTCCGGGGCTAGGGACACCACCTGCAGGTTGGGGGTAATGAGGTGGAGTTACTGGCACTTCAGTTGTCTTGAGTAATAGCTCAGTGGACACCTCCGTTCCGGGGCTAGGGACACCACCTGCAGGTTGGGGGTAATGAGGTGGAGTTACTGGCACTTCAGGTGTCTTGAGTAATAGCTCAGTGGACACCTCCGTTCCGGGGCTAGGGACACCACCTGCAGGTTGGGGGTAATGAGCTGGAGTTACTGGCACTTCAGGTGTCTTGAGTAATAGCTCAGTGGACACCTCCGTTCCGGGGCTAGGGACACCACCTGCAGGTTGGGGGTAATGAGCTGGAGTTACTGGCACTTCAGTTGTCTTGAGTAATAGCTCAGTGGACACCTCCGTTCCGGGGCTAGGGACACCACCTGCAGGTTGGGGGTAATGAGGTGGAGTTAATGTTCCTCACTGTTGACGCTAATACGGACTTCTGAACAGCATTTCCCTCCATAGGTTAGGTTAGGTTGGTATAGGTTCACTGTTAAACAATCACAGCACCGCCCCTGTGCCAGGCAAGTCCAATACGGGCTCACCATGGCCCGTGCTACTTGCCCTGCTCCTGTGCCAGGTACGTTACGGGCTCACCATAGCCCGTGCTGCTTGGAACTTGTTCCGAGTAGCTGAATCTATAACAACAATATGTTAGACAATAATACTTCAAATTAGAGGCTTGTGAAGCAGTTTGGACGGGCCATTTCCTCTCATAACCCAACCCCTTCCTTTATATTGGTCAGTGCTAAGCATTGTCTTGCTTGCAATATTGACTAACTATTGTCAGGATCAGTGATGCAAGTTGTGGGTGACAAATCTAAAAGTTTCAAGATCAACAAATATCTCGCTTTTTTTCCGTGAAGCGACACGTGATTTCTTCCTCCTGTTTGTTTCTCTGGACGCGATTCTTCTTTTGCCCAAGTGTGACAGTTGATTAGAAGAGAGAGACGAGGTTGTATACTAATAGGCAGAA